TAGAAAAACGGATCACGATAGCGAAAATGCGCCGATCACGAAGAACGAAAATAACCCATCAGGCCCCTCATGTAAATAGACAGTGGTAAATCTCGTCATTCTAAACAATTCTCTATCAATAGCGGTTTTCAAGATAAAAGAAAAAAAAACTTCTATTTTACCCTTATGGTCTATTTTAGGCCATGTCAGCGATGTTGTTCCACAGGCGGGCTCATTTCACACATTCTTTAAACTAGATATTACCCTAATTTACTTCTCTCACTTCACTTCACTCCAGGCTAGCCTTATCTACTTTTGCACATTATATTCTATTTTCTTTTTCTTTATATCTTTTGTTTGTTTTTGAATTACATGTACTACTATTATGTTTTCGTCATTATCAAATAACTTTTATATTGTTAGGGAGCTACCATTTGATTTTTATGGGGTGGGGGGGGGGGGGGGGGTGGGAGGGGGGGGGGGTGGGGCTAGATTGAAAAATTTTGTCCTGCCTTTTTATTTTTCCCTCTATTCGGTCCTGCCTTTTTATTTTTCACTCTATTCGGTCCTGCAATTTTTTTTTTGTTTATCCTGCCTTTTTTTTACATAAATTGTCATCCTGCCTTTTTTTTTTGTCAAAAGGTAGCTCCCATAGCATATCAACAAATACTTAAATGTGATTGGTCTGTTAGATTTTCTTTCCTAGGTTTACACTTGCCGAAACCACCTCCGTTGTAAAATATATTCATGCGAGATACACACGAATGAAATTCGTCGGTCTAAAAAGAGTTGAAATAAGAAATAATGAATAAAAATGTATCGGTTAAGAATTATGAGGATTAAACACTTTTTTCTAGAGATTATTTGTGTGTAAACTGGGTCGCTAGCTAACAAACTTAACACATCAGTTTGTGAGTTAACCCACCCGGTTTACACGACAATAACTTCTAGGTACAATGTTTTTGTGTTTATATTTGTACAGGGAGAGCACGTCACTAATGTTGTTTCAGTTTGTGTCCAATCCCTTTTGCTAATTTTACAAATAAAATGGGTTAAAACTAAATTGATTGTGGCCAAGTGATTTTCAATTTGGCCAAGGGTTTCAGGGAAGAAGATTTTTGTAAAAGTTAACGAACAACGACGGACGCAAAGTGAAAATCTATGATAATGAATTTAACCGCAAATCCCAAATTACAAAAAAAAACTGTGATAACTAATTCCACAAATTCGTTATCACAAATATAATTCGTTATAACCAATTATACAATTCACTATAACGATTTTAATTCGTTATCACAAATTACAAAAAGTTGTGATAACGAATTTAATTCGTAATTACGAATTACAAAAACTATAATAACGAATTCCACAAATTCGTTATCACGAATTTAATCTGTGATAACGAATTATACAATTCGTGATCTCAGTCGAATTCAAATTATATTTTTGGAAGGTCCAAGATAACGGATTAAAAACGTGATAACGAATTGTACCATTCGTTATTGATAATCACGGACTAAGTTAATGTAAGTAATTTGTTATCACAGTTTTTTTTTGGTAATTCGCAATTTCTAATTAAACTTGTGATAACACAGATTTTTGTAATTCGTGATAACGGTTGAAAATCGTTATAACAAATTGTATAATTAGTGATAACGGATTAAATTCGTAAAATGAATTTGTTAAATTGGTAATCACAGTTTTTTGTAAACCCTGATTTCGAATTAAACTCGTTATCACAGATTTTTTATAGACTTCGTTATTACGATTCTAATCCTTATCACGAATTACAAAAACTAGTGATATTGAATTTAATTCGTAATTACGAATTACAAACACTGTTATAACTAATTCCGAAAATTCGTTATCACGATTTAATCCATTATAACGAATTCCTCAATGCTAGCTAACGATTTAAATTCGTGATTTCGAATTCATGTATATATATTATTTGGAAGGTCCTAAATGGGCTTCCGTACTTAGTAGACATATGTCGTCAAAGCCAGAAGTTTCAGAAAGTTGTTTTGTTTATGTTTATAAAGATAAAGAGCAATATGAGCAGTTCAGTTAAGTTCAGTATTTTGTATTTTCCTACATAGAGCACTACTGGTCAAGGACATGTTACCGTCAGAAATTCACAATTCCCTAGGGTATCATGATGAAGACCATGCACACCTGTTTAAAAGAAAAATACCAGCAACCATTTAGAATGGAAAAATGTCTATGCAAAACTTGAGTTACTTTTAAGAGTAATCATACTTAAAAAAGAGGTGAGCTAAAAATCTGTGATAATGAATTTTAATCCGAAATCACAAATTACAAAAAAACTGTAATAACGAATTCCACAAATTCGTTATCACGAATATAATCCGTTATAACAAATTATACAATTCGTTATCACAAATTACAAAAAATGGTGATAACGAATTTAATTCGTAATTACGAATTATAAAATCTGTTATAACGATTTCCAACAATTCGTTATCACAAATTTAATCTGTTATAACAAATTATACAATTCGTGATTTCGAATTCAAATTATATTTTTGGAAGGTCCTAAATGGGCTTCCGTATACAGGAGCTGATGGTATTCCAGCAAAAATAGTAAAAAATTGTAAATCTTATATTGCACCATAGCTGACAACTCTTGTAAATTTGTCAATTGAAAATAACTGTTTCCCTGATAAACTTAAAGAAGCCCAAGTGACCCCCCTTCATGAAAAGAGTGACCCATTATTGAAAACAAACTATAGACCAGTTAGTGTCTTACCCATATTTTCTAAAATCTTTAAAAAAATATATGAAATTCAACTAACTGAATACTTTGATAAAATATTTAATCCTTTTTTTGTGTGCATTTAGACGTGGACATGGATGTCAGACCACACTTTTCAGAGTGTTAGACGATTGGTGTGAAGCTCTTGATAAAAACCAGTACATTGCAGCGGTATTAATGGATCTTTCTAAGGCTTTTGACTGCCTGCCTCACAATATATTGCTAGATAAATTATCAGCATATGGTGTATCCCCCCATTCAGTTGCTCTGTTAAAGTCCTATTTATCTAATCGTAAACAACAAATAAAAGTCAACAATGTTCTGAGTGGTTGGGCTGACATCCATAAAGGCGTACCACAGGGTTCTATACTAGGGTCGTTGTTGTTTAACGTATTTATAAATGACATTTTTCTTTTTGTTAAAAATGGTAGTTTATATAACTATGCAAATGACAATACTTTGTCTTTCTGTACTCCAGATTTTGATTTATCGATTTCAACTTTGGAATCTGAGTCAAAAATACTTATTGAGTGGTTCCGGGTGAATAAAATGCAAGCAAATCCCGACAAGTTTCAAATTTTGGCTGTTGGCAAAAAGACCTTTGAAAAAAACCCATCTATACGTATTCAAAATTCGAACCTTACATGTAAAAAAAACAGTAAAATTATTAGGCATTGAAATTGACTATCAGTTAAATTTTGATGTTCATATCAGCTCAATCTGTAGGAGGTCCTCACAGCAACTAAATGTTTTAAAACGTTTGGGCTCAGTTTTGGATAGACTTAGTAAACTTACTATTTTTCATACTTTTATTCTTAGTAATTTTAATGTTTGCCCTTTGGCATGGCATTTTTGTACTGAGAAAAATTCCAAAAAAACTAGAAAATGTGCAGGAAAGAGCACTCCGTTTTGTATACGAGAATTTTAACAGCTCCTACGAGGACCTCTTACTTAAAGCTAAGTTGCCCTCCTTGCAGATCAGACGGATAAGAACAATGGCTCTAGAAACTTTCAAGATTATAAACAATATAGCTCCTGTGTGCTTACAAAATTTGGTGAGTGTCAAAAAATCTAAGTATTCTTTCAGGTATATAAATATTCTGGATGTTCCACAGGTAAAGTCAACCCGTTATGGTAAAAAAATCTTTCAAATTTGCTGCCGCAACTTTATTGAACAGCCGTCCAAACCATTTCAGGACTGAAAATAGTTTTTCACATTTTAAAAGTCTTGTTCAGTCCTGGAACGGTTTGGAATGTCGCTGTTTTGCTTGTAGATAACTCTTGAGCTGTTTATTATGTTGCTTTTTGTTGCTTTGGACTAGTATTGATGTATTTCTTCACGAATTTTTATATATTTGAATTTTAATTTCTGACACATATTCCCAGAAATTGGATAAGCAATTCGTGTTGAAAATATTCTGTTCTTTGAAATTTTAGATCTCAAAGCAAGTACTACAGTTCTAATCTTTTTATTTGATTTTTTAAAGTAATCTATTTATTAAAAAGTTACCATATTTTTAATCTAAATTTTAAACTTTAATGTAGGTAAAAATGTGTTACTTCATTCTAAATTTGTTGCTAAATTTTTATTGCATGCTATGTATGTAAGATTCAACTCTGTATTACAGGTTGTTTTATATGTATATATTAGACTTTTTTTATGTTATGTATATGTTTTTATATTCGGTCAAAAGCTCCTTAGAGCTTGTGTTTGTTATGCAGAATCAAAATAAATTTTTCTTATCTTATCTTATCTTATCTTATCAGTTCAATATATTCAAAACTTACATCGGCGAATGTGAAATCCGTCCGGTCAACTTTTATTGTAGAAAAACATTTATTTTTACTATAAAGTTTATACTTTCATATAATATATTTATCAATCTCGCAGATTTCCTAATTTCTTGAATAAATATTGAACAACAAAAGAGATATTAACACTTTTTGTCGATCAGTTCAATATATTCAAAGGCGACTGTAAAATCCGTCCGGTCAACTTTTTTTGCTCAAAATATTTTTAAAATATTTTTTTTTTAGATTTTCAATTAATATAGTTTAGTTTCTCAAAGGTTTCCAAATATGAAAACAATCTACCAAATAACAAAATAGTTATGACCATTTATATCGCATCCGGTCATTATCCTGTCACAATCCGGGCAATCGTCCTGTCATTAGTGTAACCCTCCCGTCAATCGTCCTGTCATTGCAACCCTTATTTTAGCATATTTTTTTTATCCAAGGGAAGGCAACTCTGAAAAAATAAACATTTTTGAGCAAACCAAAACAAACAGGTCAAAAACTTGTCACAACTATACAAACTGCTTAGTGACCCACAGGTGTGAAATTGCAGATGACTCAGTAGCAAAGTACAACTATTTTCAAAAGTAAGCGATAAAATGACAAAAGCTTACAAATCACACAATACACCTTATCGCTATTCCCGGCTGACCCGAGAATCTGTCCCGCTTGAACTATTGACATCATACAACAATCACTTTTCCATTGTGGTGTCAGATATTTTGTATTATGACGTCAAAATTTTACGGGAACCAGTGTGATGTCCAGTAATGGCGGACAAATAGCGATAAGGTTTATTCTATTTTTTATAGATTTTTTTTAGTATGACATTCTATATTCAAATCTTTGCTGCTGGTCATAGGACCTAAATAAAAAACGAGAACAATCTGAATACACCTTATCGCTATTCCCGCTTGACCCGAGAATCTGTCCCGCTCCAACTTTTGACGTCATACAACAATCACTTTTCCATTGTGGCGTCAGACATTTTCTATTATGACGTCAAAATTTTACGGGAACTTTTGTGATGTCCAGTAATGGCGGACAAATAGCGATAAGGTGTATTGAAAACCCCTAACAATCCATCGCCAATAAATTAGATCCCAGAACCCCTGGCACAGTCATATAAAGCACAGTAAGCCACGGCTCTACAATCTGAGCTAAACTAGCTGCAAACTGTAGCTCATTGGTCATATCAATCATATTAAAGGAGTAATCCCCTAATGCATCTTGTGGAGCGCAGTTATATATCTACTATGTAAGGGGAAGCACCACTTCAGTAGGAAAGTAAAACAAACTCCCCTTACTGCCAACTTGCATCAGAACAATTCACCCAATTTTACACAAATTTGCCCCACTTTCCCCTAACTTGCCACAACTTTCGAAATGAAACACACTAACTCTCCCCACTGATGAAAAGGAGTTTTTTCTTGTTGAAGCTAGTCCTACTATGTTATAGTACAAACTCTCACCAACTTTAACATAATAAAAGTATGCACACATTCAAATCTAAAAATAACTTGCTCCACCAAATAACAACTACAAATTTGCCCCACCCAATTTATATAACAGTATACATTTAAAAGACTCTTCACACACTCACCCCAACTTGTGAAATAACAATTGCATTCACCATAAATAAATCTGCACTCATCCCCTGGTTATTTAGAATATTATAGGTTCTTAGGCAATTACTGTCTAAATATATAACTGCAATGTTTGAACACTTGAACATTCCATGCCAGCAACTGTCAAGATTAAGAACAACAATAAAAACTGTTCTTTCGACATACATGTGTTGGTATTCATGGGATTGTTGTTACTCAAGATTCTTTCTTTTCAAATTAAAGTACGGTTAGATTGCTGATGTTGTGCATCTTCCATGTCTCATTTTGTTTATATTTGTAGATAATAATCATGTTAACTCAGGAAGCCATTCAAGATAATGTTGGAATCTCTAAAACAACACAGTACAGTGAATTTTCAGACAGAATCAAAGTTAAGAATATACCATTCCTTGGTCGTTTACATATTGTCCGAGACCGTGAGGGATACCTTGCATTATCTTTTACTACAATTTACTGGATTTATGGAACTTTTGTGAATTTGTTTATAATACTTTTACCTCACTATTATGATAAACAGCTTCCTGGAGAACTGGTATTATGTAAGTATTATATATTTTTATATCCTTTAAAAAAGAGGAGAAAGATACACGGGTATATATATTCAAAATTCAAAAGCCGAAAGAAACTCAAAATTGCCATGAAAAAACCCCACAAAACAACAAAAAGACAAAAAGACAAGCAAGTTAAAAAAAACTACTTAGAAAACTAAAGACTGAGCAATAAGAACCCCACCAAAAACAGGGGGTGATCTCAGATGCTCTAGAAGGGTAAGCAGATCCTGCTCCACAAGTGGCATCGGCTGCTTGCTTATGGTAAGTACAAATTCTGTGATGAGTCTTATTCAGTGATTCATTCTTCATGGTTCATTCATAAGAGTTCTTTAAAAAGTTCATGAGATAAAGCTTGAACTCTAATAAGAAAATATATCACAAGCTATGAAAAAATATGAGTACAAATAAAAGGAGATATGGAGTAAACATCAATGAGTCAGCAACTACATGATAAAATAATCAAAATACATCTCGTGGGGAAAATACATTCTTCAACAACAGACAAGTGTAAATACAGTGTACAATATGTCAAGCTCTAAATACTTCCAAATCTTTAAAACGTGTAAAAGTTGTGAATATATTTGATCAAAACTATCATAGATCTGCCATAAATGCAGCATGCTTTGACTTCATAAAACTTGAAAATTTCTGTGTTGCAAAAAAATAAAACACTTGTAGATTAGGAAATGTTTGGAGAAGGGTATTAATTATAAATAAAGTTTGATTATTCAAACATTGAAAAGAAAATTTGAATATGATTAATTGGCTTATAAAAGTAGATATTACTGGTAATAACAACTTCATGGCTATAAAAATACTTTAAGAAAGAAGTTTTACCCCTGACTGTATGTGTGTATTTTATGATATTTTTTACATAGTACATGTACATGTATAGTTGAAGCTTGACACAGACGTATCTTTACAAGATGGCTCTATGTCCTGTCACACATTTCTGATTCTGTGATCAGAATGCAAGAGGCTATGAGAAAAAAGAACTTTCTCCATCACATGACATACAAGCTTGTACATTGTGCTATGACCCGACCAATAAGTAGCAGGGGCATATGATGTAAGTTACCCATATTCCTTTTTGCCATCTCAGTATACATACAGATATAATGATGTCTTACAGATTGATCTTGTATTTAGATCCTGTTGTCCAACTTTTGGAGGAATTACAGTCCGTTGTACATGTACTATAAATTTCAGTAAAATTGTAATTGACCATACTCTTTTTTTATAATGTCCACAGATCTTGAGCTGATTTTTAAACGACCGTAAAATTTTTGCATTCCTATAATGTTATCATGTTGTCTACGTCGTTGTCGTTCAAAGACATTTGGTTTCCAGACAATAACTAAATTATAACTTTAGTGTAAGTGTATGGATCTCTATGAAATTGTACCACAAGGTTCCTTACCACAACAGGAGGGTTGGGATTGATTTTAGGGGTTATTGTTTTAACTGTTTAGGAATTAAAGGCCAAAAAGGGGCCAAAAACAAGCATGTTTCTTGTTTCAGGACAATAAGTTGTGTATAATTGTATGGATCTCTATGAAATTGTACCACAGGGTTCAATACCTCCAAAAGGAAGTTTGGGATTGATTTTTGGGGTTATGGCTCAAACTGTTTAGGAATTAAGGACCAAAAAGGATTTTCATGTTTCCGGACAATAGCTTGAGTATAAGTCTATGGATCTCTATGAAATTGTGCCACAAGGTTTCATACCAAAAAAAGGAAGGTTTGGAATGATTTTGGGAGTTATGGTCCTAACCGTTTTGGAAAAGGGTCCAAAAACATTACTTTTTTAATAGTTTGTATAAAATGCTTATTTCTTGAGCAATTTCAACGGGGTTTAATTCAAAGTCTTGAAATTTTGGGTTTCTTTATTATGCTGAATCTAATCATGCATTTTGATTTTGGATTTTGGACCCCGTTTTTAAATTGGTCCACATTGAGGTCCATAGAGTCAAAAATTAAACTTTGTTTGATTTCAACAAAAATTGAATTCTTGGGGTTCTTTGATATGCTGAATCTAACCGTGTAATTTAGATTTTTGTCTCGCCTGCGACAAAAGTCTCGGAAAGCGAGACATGGGGAGGCGACAGCCTCAACAATTGTTAAGTTTTCTGCTTAAGCTAGTTTGATAGGAACTGCTTGTGATAGATCATTGATATTTTGTATGAAGATGCATTACTATCAGTTCATATCAGTTTGACAACAATTTTGAAGTCCTACCCCCTAGGCCATGCTCCAGTGACTTTGAATTAATTAGCAATTTTCAATGTTAAGTTTTCTGCTTAAGTTAGATTGATAGGAACAACTTGTGATAGATCAATGATATTTTGTAAGAAGTTGCATTACTATCAGTATATATCAGTTTGACGACTATTTTGAGGCCCTGCCCCTAGGCCATGGTCCAGTGACTTTGAATTAATTAGCAATTTTAAATGTTTTCTGATTAAGTTGGTTTGATAGGAACTACTTACAATAGACAATACTTTCTATAAGTTACATTGCTGTCTGTACATCTCAGTTTGTCAACCATTTCAAGGCCCTACCCACTAGTTGGTCCAGCGACTTAGAATTAATTAGCAATGTTGCTGTCCATCAGATTGTTATGCATGCATTGCTAACCCTCCTAAATAGGGTTAGTTTTCATCATACATTTCTTATCAATTTTCCAGAATTTAAAATTATTTCAGATTCAAATAATTCCTTGTTTAGACTTCATGCATTCTTTGTCATGACCTATAGATGCTACATGTATGTCAAATATTTAATCACAATCCAAATTCAGAGGTGTATTGTACAATTAATAGAAATTTAAAGTAGATTCATAGTTAAAAATAGATATAGCATCATCGTATTCTAATTTAAGAAACTATGCATAAATAAAGTTTGTAAAATTAACATTGTTAGATATTTTGAAAAATAATTAGAGGTAAGTTTTATAGATTTTTTAAAGATATTGTATTTAAATGATGAATGATATTTAAAAAAAAAAATTTTTTTTTCATTTTTTTTGTAAATTTTATAAAGAACATCATGGTAGGTTTGTTTGTTATTCTGTATAAATTAGTTTTCAGAATGCTATATAATATATATATTTTTTATAAAGTAAACCCCTTTTAAAACTTAGCTAATATTGTCCATTAATGAATAAATAAATTAAATTCTTGGTGTACTTGGATATTATGGTCCATTAATAAATAAATGAATTAAATTTTTGGTGTACTTGGATATGCCGACTCTAACCGTATATTTAGATTTTGGATATTGGACCATAATAGGTAAAATCCAATTTCCAATTTTTTAGTTCTTTGACCACATTCATTCTGACACAGAAACCTACATTGTATGTTGTGTCAAATATTTAATCGCAATCCAAATTCAGAGCTGTATCAAGCTCAAATGTAGTACTGTCCATACTTGCCCCAACTGTTCAGGGTGCGACCTCTGCAGTCATATCTAGCTGTGCCCAGCAGAGCATTTCATTGGTACATTATTGTATAGAGATAGCTTATAGATCAAGTTTGTGTTTTGTTCTGATTGACTGTCCAACTTTTTACAGAATTCAAGTTTGAATTTTACTTCTGGTGATTAACTTTTTTCATTCAGCAAATACATAATAATTTTTGTCTCCCCTGCAACGAAAGTTGCAGAATGCGAGACAAAAGGATTACACTCCGGCATTAACTTTTTGTTTAAAGCTTTATATTTCAGAAGGTAAAAGATCTGTATGCTTCATACCATGTATGCAGATACCTTATGTTACTAAGTTTCCATCCATCATAGTTTCATTGTCCGTCACCAGGTTCAGTGAATGCTTGAAATTACAGTTTTTTTGTTATATGAAATACTTACTTATTATGAGTAATAGGATAACTATATTTAGTATATGGGTTCCTTGCAAGGTCTGCAATGTCTGTCAGACAGGGTTCATCTGACCTCAATCTCATTTCATGGATCAGTGATCAAGATTAAGTTTAAGTGGTCAAGTCCATATCTCAAGATACTATAAGCAATAGGTCAACTATATTTGTAGTATGGAATGATTGTTAGATAACATGTCCAATTGGCAGGTTTCATCTGACCTTGACCTCATTTTCATGGTTCATTGGTCAATGTTAAGTTTCATAGTTAGTTCAGTTTCTCAGATACAATAAAAAAAAAGATTAAAATATTTGGTGTATATGATGATTGTAAAGTGTACATTTATGTCTGGTAGGTTCATCTGACCGTGACCTCATTTTCAAGAATATTAAAACTTTAAACAATAAATTTTATAGTGCAGGTGAGACATTTCAGAATTTGCACTGTTTTTGCCATTTGTCTGGTATGTGAATAATTTCATGATTCCTTTTTCTCATTGTAGGGTTTTGTTTTCTATCTGGTATGTGTATAATTTCATTATTTAAAGCTTCTACTACAAATCCAGGAAGAGTACCTCTAATTGAAGATTCTCAGATTGGTAAGAATATAACATACATTAATGGTTACAAAATATCCTAATATTTTAAGACCCTACAGATTTTTATATTACTAAATTTTATAAAATATGTCTCTGATATATACATACATTTTAAGCAAAGCTGAAACATTAGATGTAAATCTCAAATACCAGTGTTTGAATTGAACAAAATTGTGAAAGATCCACCAAAGTTCACCCCTCATTTGTTACAAGTTTATCACAGATCTGAATCGTGAATGTGCAGAAGATTGGTTTTGTTCTTAGGAGATGGAGAGCTTTGAAATTAATTATCTGTTAATTTCAAATTTAAAAAATAACATATGTCATATTAGCGCAATCAAAACCCTATTGTCATTGGCTTTACAGCTATATTTAGCTATATTCCTGGTCTCATCTCTACCTTACCTAACATGGTATAGTGAGGTAAAAAATCTTTAGATCCTATCAATTTCCATGTAAAGCATTATTATTAAAGATATATACTCAGATATTCAAGTTACAAAATGTAGCAATCTGATTGAAATACAGAACCTGTGTCCAAGCTTTGCTTACAAGGATATGAAAACGCTCTGTACTACATTCTATTCAAAGACCTTTCGGGATTATCTGGTTTTGTCAGATTAATACACACATTCAAAAATTTGAAGGCTGAAATTGCATTGGCTGATGTAATAATTACCAGAACAGAAAGTAAAATGGAGAGTTATCAGATCCTTGTAAGCAAAGCTTGGACACAGGTCTGTATTTAAATCAGACTGGAAATGAAGTGTGTGTGTACTTGACATACTTGACTAAGAAAACTATTTTATTAAAAAGTACAAAAGTGACGAAGTAGTGCATGGCATATGAATCTATCTGCTATACCTTCAATTACATGTATTGACAAAGAAAGATAACTCCAATTCAAAATATTGCCTAAATTTGTTCCATTGTTTTAAACAATTCCTTTCACAATGAAAAATAAATGTAATCTTTATCCCTTTAATTTCTACTTTCTGTTTGCTCTTTTCGCCAGCACACCACTTTCAGTAAACATGATATCATTCCACTATCCTAGTTTTATGTCTCAAAAAGATAACTTTTCAATCATTATACAAAAAGATTTTTTTTAAAGAAATCTCATGCTTCTTACAATTATTTAAAAGATATTTGCCAGATGTTTATTTCTGTGATCTAACTTAATGACAAAATAAGGGGAAATAAGACGACCACAAAAATTATTAAGCAGTTTTATGGCGTTAAATGTTGCAATCTTCCTATTTTTACTGATTGAAGGTTTCTTCCTTTACTTATCTTTTAAAGAACTTTTACTATAAATATCACTTCCTTGATAAACAATTCAATATATCCTTTTCTGTACATAACATTGCATGAAAACATGGAAAATCTTTAGAAGATGGTGATTAATGTTGATTCCATTGCATAATGTCATGATTGACATTTTATTTCTTTATAAACATGTAAAACACAATGACAGGATGCTAAACTCCTTTGTTTATTCTGGAAACATCATTAAAACAATTTTTACACCTTCCTACTTTTAAAATATTTATTTTGATAGTTTGAAAAATGCATGGTTAATTTGTCAGCTTCCCTTTTTTGTTATTTTTGTAAATATAAATTTCCTGTGGAGGAAGAGCTAAGAGTTGACATGACTGTTTTCTATTTTCAACTTTATGGGATTTTTATTATGGAAAAAGATAATTATTATAAAGCAATGTACCCAAATGTACTTCCAGAAAATAAATGCCTAAACATTAACACTTAACACATCTTTGTTTAAAATTTGTCAATTTCTTATGTGTCTGTTTACCTGATGCTACAAATAAATTTATATCAAACCTCAATTTAATAGAAGCTTTTATTTTATTTTAAAATGAAGACATTTCTTCCAAAACAGTTGTATTTCCAGGAGAATTGTTAAAAGATAGAATTTCAAAGGGATGCTATCTATTAGAACAAATAAGTTGAAGAATTATTTGGTAATTTTTTATATGACATTTGATAAGTTAAAAGTACTGTTTTTTAGATATAAATCATTGGGAAGTATGTAAAACATGCCGTAGAAAACGTCCAAAACGAGCCCATCACTGTAGAAGGTGTAACCAGTGTGTGTTAAGAATGGATCATCATTGTCCATGGTAAGAATTTAATTTCTGTAATCACATGACAACTGCCCATTTTATAAAGAATCTGAAGATGAAGAAAACATATTAAGAACAACATACCAGTGGAAAAGAAACAGTATTTCTTCACAAATATGGTCATTGAGCACAGCAAAAAATGGGAATTTAATTCTTGTCTTAAAATAAAGTTATAAAAATGACAACTGTAAACTCTGAATATAAAGTAAAACTTGTACTGTTTGTTATCTGCAGAACAAAATTACATATATTTAAAGCTTGAATATTCTGTTTTAGGATAAATAATTGTGTAGGAGAGGAGAACCATTGGGCTTTTACACTACTGTTAATATATGCCTTTCTTTTGGGATTAACTGGTTTTGTGATAAACATGTTACACTTCTGGTGGTGGCCAAAATGTGTTACCTGTGATAAGGTATGTATTGAATAAGAAGTAAATATGGACATATGTTAATTATAAGTGACAGTTTATTGAATAACACTTCAGTTGTGTATGGTTTTCAGATTTTTATACGACCGCAAAAATTTTGTGGTCATATATTGGTATCACGTTGTCGTCATAGTCGTCATAATCGTTGTCCGAAGACAGTTTGTTTCCGGACAATAACTTTAGTATATAATAAGTAAATAGAAATCTATGAAATTTAAACACAAGGCTTATTACCACAAAAGGAAGGTTGGGATTGATTTTGGGGGTTATGGTCCTAACAGTTTAGGAATTAGGAGCCAAAAAGAGGCCCAAAAAGGCATTTTTCTAGTTTCCAGACAATAACTTGTGTTTAAGTGTATGGATCTCTCTGAAATTATACCGCAAGTTTCCATACCACAAAGGGATGGTTAGGATTGGCTTTGGGGGGTTATGGCTGAAACCGTTTAGGAATTAGGGGCTAAAAAGGGGGAAAAACAAGGGTTTCCTGGTTAATGGACAATTTAAAAGCAGTGTAAGGGAGGTAATCCAAAAACAAAATTGTACAATGTTGTACAATGTTTGATTACCTCCCTTACACTGCTTTTAAATTATCTATTTAAGACTTTTATGATGTATTTAAATGGGTAATTATGGTTGCAAAGTCCATTGGAAATTTGAATTGAGATTATGACCATACCTTGAGGGAAAGAATTTTTTTTTGGAAAAAAGGGGGGGTAAAAAAGAAATGGGGGGAGGGCAATTTTACTCATTTCAGATTTCAGAAATTAAACAAAATTTCTTCAAATATTTTTTTTTTTGCAAAAAAAAAAGGGGGGATTTTTTTTTTTGGGGGGGGGGGGGGGGGTCAATTGGCAACAGCATAGTGATTTGCACAAAAGCAAAAAAAAAGGGGGTTAATTTTTATTTATTTTTTTTTGGGGGGGGGGTGGTCAATTTGCACAGGCACAGTGTATTGCACAAAAGCAAAAAAATTAATATAGATTCAAATCATATAACCAATTCTAAGTCATTTGACTACAGTTATTCTGTGTCAGAAACCTATTATGTGTCAAATATTTAATTACAATCAAAATTCAGACCTGTATCAAGTGCAAATATTGTGTCCATTTTTGCCCCAACTGTTCAGGGTTGGACCTCTGCGGTCGTATCCAGCTGCGTCCGACAAAGCAATTTATTTTGTTTCAAAAGGGTTAGTTAGTATAGGAAAAATAGATTTATGTTAAGGTAATTTAAAAAAAATACAAATATTTTAAGACTAACAATTTTTTCTCATGTATGCTGTGATTGTGGTTAGACAAGAATTGAAAAGATGCAACTGTAATTTTATTATTACTTTTATTAAGAATAATGTAAAGAACCAATAGCTACCAAACTTTTATCCACCTTCTTTTACTTTGGGGGTCCCTATACTTTAGGGTTAGGGATCATTTATTGTTTTGGTTAGGGGATGTTCTAAATTAGGGTTAGAGTAAATGCTAGATTTAGGGTTAGGATTAACGCAAGCATTAGGGTAAGGTATTTGTTATTGTAAGGTTTAGGGTTTACGATAGTTTAGTATAGCTCTATATGAGTTGGGAACCCTAAGGTAAAAGATTTTTTGGTATGAAATTGTATGTTTGGTTCATATTACATGTATTTGACTTAGCAGTATATACTGATCAGGGTTTATATCTCTATCACTAATAAAAGTATCAGTAAATAAATTTGATGGTTTCCTGATGAACTAAGTCATGGTAATTTGCCAAAATTAAAATACAATGTATTTGATAAAATACAAATAAAGTGCAATTTACAGTACACATGCGCTTACTTTTCAGTAGCATTATCTGTTGGAAAACTGATGTCTGAAAATTAAAGCAAACCAAACTTCATTGAAAGTTTTATTGCTAAAAACATCTTTTTTTAACTTCATATCCTTTGATACAAGTAATGCCTGATTTTTAAAATTGTCCTTTTGAAATATTCTGAGTAATTTCCTTGATGAATTAAAAATAAAGTTAGGCTTTCTTCATTTGAGCAAGGATATTCTCTCATAGGCATTCACTAAACAGGAGTTACATACATTTAAAAAAAAAAATGAATTTCAGATTGTTTTTACATCTATGGAAGTACAGTAAGATTGCACATTTTTTCATTTTTTTTATTTGATTTCTGTTTTTCATGAAACAAACACCAGTCTTCAAAGCAGAATGTTATACAGTTTTTCTTACAATTTTGATTTCATTGGTTTTCAAGTAATCTTGAGTGAAAAAGAAATTTTCACATCTGATGTCAAAATTTGTGATGATATATTATAACCATCTAAAAAAATTAGAAAAAGTTTCCAATAACCCACCTAGATGCCACAGGTTCCGTGTAAATGTCATTTATCTTGCTGCTGGAACTGACTTACTTTTTACATCGGATGACCATGAGGGCATTCCGGTGTATTGTTGCCACAGACATTTCTACCATGTAACATTCGTTTTTGACTGATAACCGTATAATTACGCAGATATTATCGAGTGCAAAATAACATTCCTTATTGCTTCTTATATATTAATTTTTTCAATAAATATTCATGAAAATAATTTTTAAGAACATAGATAAATGATATGAAAATGTTTTGTCGTGAGAAATATATATATCAATAACAAATCAAGAATACTGAAAATTTGTGTTAACGCATGCGGAAGAATATCTCAGGAATGTTTTGTAACAAACGCGGGAAAATATGAATGCCTACTCAAATCCAATCTATTAGAAAAAACGAATTATTGCAGAAGAGTGTCCACCCTGCACTTGCACTGCACTATCATTAGAAGAGTAGAATAGAATGATATACAAATGGATGAAAATTTTATATAACTATTATACAAATATAAATATAATATATAACAACAAACCAGAGTATACTGATAACAAATAGTTATATCACTACACTATAATACTGTTATTATGGTGAGGTTGAATTCCCTGTCATTTATTCATCATTCACACACGAACTTGTCTCATTTTAACCTAACTTTCAGGTATAGAGATGTGATTTTTTTCTGAGACAAGTGCTTGTGACCATCCACCAGAACTTGTGGTCATCCGATGTTCAGTACTTCAGTACTTTGATTTTTATTGTAAGGGATAATATGAAAAATTTAAACTTTCTAACTTGCTTGGTTTTTTTTTCTTTTGATAAATGATAGAAAAGTATTTCTTTAGTAGAACTGATATCAAACTGTCTGTAGAAAAGTCTACTGATGGAATATGACAGAAAAATGAATGCCATAATTATTTGGAAAAGTGAAATTTATAGCATCTTTGATGTAGAACCCTAATAGATAATGTTTTGTGTGTATGAAAGAGATAAAACTTTTTTTTTCCCTTTTCAGGAAAGTTTTTTCATAAAGCACCAGATCTGGTTTGTGTATTTAGTGACAGGACTGGGTGCTGCTATGGCAGCGCTTATGGGTGGACAGGTCATAGTTCAACATACAAATATTCTTCTGGTGAGTGTATTAAATAATTTCCTCTAGTAAGATGATTTAAATATGAAATAAATGGGTGGACATAGTTCAGCATGCAATATTTGTGGGTGCAAGAATGCAGTTGTGAAACCTTTTAAGTTTATTTCCCTTTGAACACCTATGCATGGACAGTTCATAATTCAGCGTTCAGATATTTTTTTCTGGTGAGTACACTCAATTTTGAGATAGCTGTGTTTAAGATGGGGATTTTTTTTCAATTTTAGTTTTTTGCTTTATATCTAATAAACTGTAATTGTTTGACAAAAACTGAACAAAAAAATTGATTATCAAGATATGTAAATACTGTGGGTTCAATATTATTTGTGGGATATCATTTTTCACGGATAAAGGTCAACCACTTTAAAAGTTCAAGGAAGGGACACATTTTTATAGGCTTGTATGCAGACTTTGGCAAAACTACAAAATCAAATATCCATAAAAATTTAATTTTTCCACAATCCACAAAAATTTGTACCCACGAAAATAAATGAATCCACAGTAGTGGATGACTAAACTGTCAATTGACTCTGTATTGGTATAAATTATGATGATTTTTATAAACTTATAGTTTTTAAAATATTTTTTATAATAAATAGATAGAAACTGTAAACTGAACCGCAATCTTGAAACATAAGAACATTGAGATCTGCAAATCATTTAATTAGTTTTTGATATTACAATTACTGCTTAGTAAAGCAGTGGTGGATCCATGGGGCGTAGAGGGATACCCCTTCCTTTTGATGGCCAAATAAAAAAAAATGTTGGCCTTGATTTGAGTTGAATGTACTCAACAATCTGTTTATTTGATCACAAAAAAGGTGAAAATAAATAAAAAAATGGCTGATTTTTGTCCGGTCAGTAATTCAAATTATAGGAGCTTCTAGCTATATTTCAAAGGGTTCCTCTCTGATCCCTAATTTATACAGATACTGTAAGCAAGCTTTGTCAGTTTTCTAGTGAGTAACATGTAATTATTGTTAATCAGTGAAGAAATTACTACTTTCTGCTTTAACATTATTTAATAAGTAAAATTTGACATGTTTTATACGTCCATTGATAACATCATCCAGCAGATAGTATTGGGACACTGTTGCTTTATATTATTTCACCTTGCTAATTTGGTAAATGCTTTTACTATAAGTAATAGGTCAAACTATGATTGTTAGATTGTTAGGTGTAAATATCTGTCTGACACAGTGTTCATTTGACCCCTACTTCATCTTCATAATTCATTGATCAGTATTAAGTTTTTGTGATTTGGTCTGTTTCACAGATACTAAAGGTTAAAGTCAACGTTATCCAGTGCATAGAATGATTGCTAGGTGTATATATTTCTAAAGGGTTCATCTGCCTTGACCTCATTTACATGGTTCATTGGTCAAAGTTATTTTTTTCTGATAAGGTTTGTTTCTCAGATACTACATGTATAACTAATAAGTCAACTGTAATCAATATATGGAATTGTTGTAAAGTGTACATATGTGTCTAACATTGTTCATTTGACCTCGCCCTCATTGTTTTAAAACATTAATATTGTTTAGTTTATATGCTATCTATTTTAAGATCTTGATCTTAAAGAGCCTCAGAAAAGAAACATTTCAGTGTGTGCACTCATGCTTTATTTGAGTAATGCTAATGTGTTAACATGAAATTTAAGGAATCTTTTTAAAGTTCCATAGGTTTGTAAAAGCATTGATTGTATTTGAATGTTCACTTCATACAAAATACTATTATGGTATAATAAAAGTTTTTCATTCCAATGACACTATCAAAGAATTAATTAATATGTGATAATAGAAGATGAATGTATCTATAATACTAAAGGAATGAATTTGCTTGATTTTTAAGAAAATGTGTGTCTTAAACTGTATTGATTGTGCAGATTGTTCCTACATAAAGATATAAAATCTTAAAAGCATAGACTTTTTTGTGATTATTTACAACAGTGTGTTTTACCTTGCACTGGTTCCTTTCTAGTATTTCTAAACAATAATCTTTTATAGTTGGGATAAGGGGTATACACATTTTTCTGAATAAACAAGAATTACAAAACAAAATTTTTGAATCAATTGCTGTTTTGACTTCACCTTTAATTTTTATTTGCAGAATCAAACGACATTAGAAACAATGGGATTGAATCAAACAATGGGATCACATTCACATGAATCGTAAGTTTTGTTCTAATTTGTGTTATTTCCATTTAACTTGGAAATTTGTAGCATAGATTTTAGGCCAATACATGAAAAGATTATTTCATTCAGTGATATTTGTACCTGCTATTGTTTCTTCGTAAACAGCAAATGTGGCTAAATAGAAGAAAACAAGAGGCTCATCCAGGTCAATGTGCATCTTCAACAATGGACACTCTCCAATATTGTGGACTAGAATAGAATTAATGACAAAAATCTCTTTTTATCACACCTGGCCTTGAGGGCCAAGTGAGCTTTTCTCATCACTTGGTGTCTGTCATCAATTATCATCAGTTAAATTTTAAAAAATCTTTTCCTTTGAAAGTACTGGGCCAAATTTAACCAAACTTGGTGACAATCATAATTGGGGTATCTAGTTTAAATGTGTTTGATGACCCAGCCTGCCAACCAAAATGGCGGACATTGCAAAAAATAGATCATAGGGGTAAAACGCAAGTTTTGTCTATTATTTTGAAAACTGCAATAAATAGAGAAAATCTGATCATTTTTGCTTATTTAAGTTTCTATATATATGTCTACTTAAATTTTAAAGATATAAGGCAAAATGACAAAAAGTAGGTAAAGCTCTTCATTAAAGGGTAATCACTGTATAAGGAGTTGTCAGATGATTTCCTCTATATGACTTAATTGTAGATCTTGTCTTGCTGATCATTTTTGCCTATTTAAGTTTCTAACTATTTATTATAATTTTTAAGATATAAGCAAAAACGCAAACAATAGGTAAAAATCGTCATTAAAGTGCAAAAACTCCAATAAAGAGTTGTCTGACGATTTCAGCAGTGATGACTTTATTGTAGATTTTTTCTTACTGATCATTTTTGCTATTTAAATTTTCTATCTATTGTAGTGATACGACCGTATAATGCTATGGTGTCGTCGTCGGCATCGTCCGAAGACCTATTTGGTTTCCGGACAATAATTTTAAGTGAATGGATCTCTAAGAAATTTTACTACAAGGTTCCAGACCACAAAGGGAAGGCTGGAATTAATTTGGGGGTAATTACTCCAAGGGGGAGGGGGTTCAAAAAGTTTGGGGGGATTTTTTTTTCCAATTGTTTTTTGGGGTTCATATTTTTTTTCTTCAAAATTTTTGAAATTACAAATGATTGCACAGTATTGCAAAATAGCAAGAAATCTTCAATTGCACAGTATTGCGCAATAGCACAGTATTGCTCAATACCACAGTATTGCGCAATAGCAAGAAATCTTCAATTGCACAGTATTGCGCAAAAGCCAGAAATCTTCAATTGCACAGTATTGCGCAATAGCAAGAAATCTCCTATTGCACAGTATTGCACAATAGCAAGAAATCTTCAATTGCACAGTATTGCGCAACAACACAATATTGTGCAATAGCAAGAAATCTTCAATTGCACAGTATTGCGCAATAGCACAGTATTGCACAATAGCAAGAAATCTTAAATTGCACAGTATTGTGCAATAGCAAGAAATCTTCAATTGAAAATAAATACAAATCTTTTAACCAATTTCAATGGGATTAATTTAAAGTCTTTAATTTTTGGGGGTTCTAACCTTGTATTACAATTTTGGATATTGGGCCCCATTTTTAAATTGGTCTACATTGAGGTCCAAAGGGTCCAAAATTGTTAAAACTTTGTTTGATTTCATCAAAAACTGAATTATTGCGGTTCTATGATATGCTGAATCTTATTGTGCATTTAGATTTTTTATTTTGGGCCCTGTTTTCAAATTAGTCCATATTCAGGTTTGATGGGTCCAAAATAAACTTTTTTGTTTGATTTCGACTAAAATTTTTGGTGTTTTTTTATATGCTGATTCTAACCATGTTGTTAGATTTGGGATATCAGACCATACTAGGTAAATTAAATGTCCCATTTCAAATTTTTAAGATCTTTGACACCATTTATTTTGTGTCAGAAACCTATATTATGTCAAAAATTTGATCACAATCCAAATTCAGACAGTATCAAGCTTGAATATTGTGTCCAAACTTGACCCAACTGTTCAGGGTTAGACCTTTGCAGTCGTATCTGGCTGCGCTCAGCGAAGCATTTTATTTTTTATATTGCTATCACGTCCTCATTGTCGTCTGAAGACATTTGGTTTCTGGACAATAACTTTAGTTTAAGTGTATGGATCTCTATGAAATTTAACCAAAAGGTTCAATACCACAAAAGGAAGGTTGGGATTGTTTATGGGGGTGATGGTCCCAACCGTTTAGGAATTAGGGGCCAAGAAGGGGCCCAAAACAAGCATTTTTCTAATTTCAGGACAATAACTTGTGTATAAGTATTTTGATTGCTCTGAAATTGTACCACAAGGTTTGGTCATTTTGAGATGAATTAAAAGTTGGTGCCTATTTTTAAAATTGTCGATATCACACTAGATTCATAGCATCAACGAACTTGTATTGACTGTTTCATTGCATTTACTTCGTGAATTTTCTTACCATTTTTATTATGCCCCCACCGTAGCGGAGGGGGCATTAAGTTTTACCCTTGTCAGTCTGTATGTACGTACGTCCCAAAATTGGTTTCCGTTCTCTAACTTGAGTTTGCCTCAACCAAATGTTATGAAATTTATACACAATGCTTATTACCACAAAATACCAATTTTGAACTTTGGTAGTGTCGCTCTAACTGTTCTAGAGTTATGCCCCTTTATAAATGGAAAAATTACAAAATTTTTAGTTTCCTTTCTCTAACTTAAGTTTGTCTCAACCAAATATTATGAAACTTATGCACAATGCTTATTACCACAAAATACAGATCAAGTTTGAATTTTGGTAGCGTCACTCTAACTGTTCTAGAGTTATGCCCCTTTATCAATGGAAAAATTACAAAATTTTTAGTTTCCGTTCTCTAACTTAAGTTTGCCTCAACCAAATGTTATGAAACTCATACACAATGCTTATTACCACAAAACACAGATCTAGTTTGAATTTTGGTGGAGCTACTTTTATTGTTCTTGAGTTATGTCCCTTTATAATGTTGTATGCAAGCGGGGGCATCATCTGTGTCCATGGGGACACATTCTCCATTTATTCTAAAAACATTCAAGAACAGTTTTGGGAAGGCAATGGTTTAAAATTGAAATGATTTTAATGACTTGAAATGGTTAATTTTTTCTTTCAATTTTGAATTCGAATTTAAAACCGGAAGTTTTGCGACAATACTAAAGTACGAATAATTCTGGATTCATTTCAGGGATTTGTTTTGTTTATCAAATTGACAGGAAATCACCGGCTTTTTAATTTTATTGTCGAGCCTTTGACTTTTGTAGCAAAAAGCTCGACATAGGGATAGCGATCTGGTGGCAGGGACAATTTCACGCATGCGTATTACATAGTAAATAAAGCACATGTGTTAGTTGTGAAAAATTACCTTATTCTACATAAATTAAATTAAGTTTTAATTTTTAAATCAGAATAGATGCTTTTCTTTCCTGAAAAGTAATTAAATAATTAATACAGTTGTCGTGGAATTTTAATTTCTTTATAATAGTAGTTCTGAGCTTGTGATCAATGTGTGTGAATTAAAAACACAGGTAAAAAGTGATTAGCGATCATTAGCCAATATTTAAAATAGTTATTAGGAGGGCTCTCAGGATTATCAGACTTTACTGGAGTGGCAGTTTTATTACTGGAAAGGGATTATATGATCACAAGACGAAGTGCACAATGACGATTAAGAAACCTGATCTCAATGAAATGACCGAAATTATTTCTGTAAAAAAATAAAAATTTGTCCTAAATCCCAATTTTTCGTTTAGGACAAATAGCTTTCAGTTTAGGTCATGACTGGGAAATATGACCATTTCCAGACCCTTGGTTCAATACCACAAGTAGAAGGTTGGGATTCATTTTAGGGGAAATTGCCCAAACCATTTAGGAATTAAGGGCCAAAAAGGGTCTAAAACAAGCATTTTTCTAGTTTTCAGACAATAACTTGTGTTTAAGTGTATAGATGTCTCTTAAATTGTACCACATTTTACAAAAAGAAAATTTCTTCAAATATAATTTTTTTTTGGAGGTGGGGTAAAAAAAAATGTTTGGGGGTGGGGGGGGGGGGGGGGGGGGGGGGGTTGGCAATTTTTTTCCCTCAAGATTTAAGAAATTAAAAGGAAAATTTCTTCAAATTTTATTTTTTTTCAAGGGGGAGTAAAAAAAAAATTTTTTTTTGGGGTGGGGAGGGTAATTTTTTTTCCTCAAGATTTAAGAAATTGTCAATTTTCCAAAGAAAAATTGGGGGTCACAGTTTATTTTGCTAATTCTTTGTATATAGTCTGAAAACAGATTTACTAAGTATTGCGCAACATCACAGTGTATTGCAAAACAGCAAGAAATCTTCATTTGAATATAAATTCAAATCATAGAACCAATTTTAAGTTCTTTTACTACATTTATTCTGTGTCAGAAACCTATAATGTGTCAAATATTTAAATACAATCCAAATTCAGACCTGTATCAAGCTTGAATATTGTGTCCATTTTTGCCCCAACTGTTCCGGGTTGGACCTCTGCGGACGTATCCAGCTGCGCTCTGCGAAGCAGTTTATTAAGATATTAGGCAAAAATGCAAAAAATTGGTAAAAATAGTCATTTAAGGGCAATAACTCCTATAAGAAGTCGTTTGCCGGTTTTGATGTAAGCACACAATAGGTAGATCTCAACATTCTGAACATTTCTGCCACTTCATATTTTCTCTATCTACCGGTATAGTGGTTTCCAAGATTATAGACAAAACTTGCATTTCACCCCTTTGTCTTATTTTTAGCCATGGTTATAATGTTTGTTTAGCAAGCGAGGTCATCGAACCTCATTTTTAAAACTAGATACCCCATTGATAATTGTGGCCAAGGTTGGTTAAATTTGGCCAAGTTATTTCAGAGGAGAAGATTTTAGTCGAGCCTTCGACTTTTGTCGAAAAAGCGAGACATAGGGATCCTACATTCCGTCGGCGTCGTCGTCGGCGGCGT